CGCGTATGCCAGACACGAAAGGTCACATATTGTATGTGGTTTTATTTATGTGAAATAGCCAGAGTAAGTCAAATCCATAGACACAGAAAGCAGATTAATGTTGCCAGGGGCTGGGGGGAAGGAAGAATGGGGTGCGACTGTTTAGTGGATATGGGTTTCTTTTTTTGGGATAATGAAAATGTTCTGGAATTAGATAGTGGTGATGGTTGCACAACATTATGAATACACCAAAAGCCATTGAATTTATGGTTTAAGATGGTTTCAATGATGAGTTAAAACATAAAAGGGGACAGGGAAAATCAACTGAGAAATTATTACTGCCCATGTTGAAACTGTCCCCAAATGTATTCACTTCTTTCTATGACCCTCAAACCTGTTTTTGCCCCATGTCCTCATCATAGTGTCTATAGCCAAGCATTTAGTTGCCCAAGTGAGAACACCCATGCCGTGCCTGATTTCTCATGCTTTCTAATCTCCTATAGCCAGTCATGAGCAACGTACATTCTCCTCATCCTAAATATATCTCAATCTGTTCTTTTTTGCCACCACATTATTATTAGCATGGTTGCTAATATAATATATATCATTTATTGAGCATTTTCTATGTACCAGTCACTGTGCGAAGGGCTCTAATTCAGACTATTTTTTCACACAGATTTTGCACTTGTCTCCTAATGATAATAGGTCCTCATTTTCACTTTATTCCATTCCATTCCACTCCATTCCATTCTTACTTGAAGAATGGTATTTCTAAATTGCTAGTTTGCTTATGTGACTCCCATTCTTAAAACTGTCACCCTTAGACCAAAGACCAAGCTCCTTAATTAGAATTCCAAGGCTTATTTATTTATTTATTTATTTTATTTTCCATCTTCTTAGTTCTTAGGCCTCACTTTCCCACGTCCCTCTGGCTTTTCCCTCCAAGCGTTCTGAATCACTTACTGTTCGTCAAAGGCACTAAGCTGTCCTGCTGGCCTTGGTGCTTTTGTACACAGTGTTCTCTTTGCCAGAGACACACTTCCTGGGGACCCTCTGTTCACCTGGATATCCCCTATTCAACCTTCGGGTCTCAGTGTAGATGACACTTCTTTTGGGGCATCGCCCCTTGGCCCCCTAAAACTAGGTTAAACGCCCCTCTTAATGCCCCCCCTGCCCCAGAACATCATAATTAATCCCACTGTTACACTTACGACAGGGCCCAGTTTAATGGACTGTAAGTTCCTTGGGACTTGTAGCCTTCACATGCCTTTCCCAGCACCTGGCATGGCACAGGCTCACATGAATCTGATTGAATATGTCATAAGAACAGGAATTTAACTTGAACCTGACACTATGGGTGAGAGTAGGGTACCATCAGAATAAGGGCTCATTGCACAGGCCTGAGCACCCTGACGTGCGTCAGTGTCTCCGTGTGTCAGTGGAAACAGAGATGAGTTCTTATGGGGTGAGTCTCCCAATCTATATTGTGACTCATGCCACTACTAGGAATCCTACAGAAACTGGACCAAGTTAAATGATAATGTTGCAAGGGCTTATTATTATTTTTTTAATGGCTGTAGGGTCCTTGCTCACTGAATACAGTCAAGGCCTTTTCATAACCTGCCTTTAGTTTTTCAAAAATACTGCCTCTTCCTCCTCCTCCTCCTCATCACCACTAATAACTCCACATTGCAAATCTCTCATTTCCCCTTCACTGAAAGTAAGTCACTCTAAAGGCATTCATTTCACGGACAATTATTACATATTATACTGGTGCAGAGCACATTTAATGACAAGAGATAAAAAGGATTGACTGTTACTGCAGACTTGTCACATTTGATAGTCGAGAGAGTTTTATTTCCCCATTGTGCAGAGGAGACAGTAGGATGTCTGAAATGTGAACCCCCACGTTCATTATATACCCAATTCTTCCCTCCATTTGCTTTCCCTATTGATTTTTGAGGGCAATCAAGGTAGAGAAGAGGTTTCTCCAGAAACAAACAAAAACAAAACAAAAACAATCCACAACTATTTATTTTGACTCTGGTAATGGAAACAACGAATCCTCTACTTATAATAGAAAACTAGGAAAATTCTCTGGCAGGAAAAAGGAAACATATATTGAGAGATCATGCCTGCTTATCTCAACCCGTTCTATGTGCCATCCGATTGAAGGGAGATAAGACACTGACACCTTTTGGTTCATGGCTTCCTGTAGCCCAAGGAGGCTGAGGAGGAAGCAGAATAGGAGGGCTTTTATTTTGTTAGAAAACAGTCGCTTCTTCCTGGTCCCAGGAAGCTGCGCCTGCTAAGATTAACACTGGCACGTTTTTTTGTTCTGGTAACCAGTCAGAAGTGCTGGCCCAGAATCTAGTAACAAAGGAGGAGAATCTCTGGCTGGTGGTGCTGGCGAGGGTCAGACAGGTGTACCTTCACCTCCGGACAATGAGAATTCTTGGGTACCTCCTGAGTTGCAGGGTGGTATGGTGGAAAGATTATGGGCATCAGAGTCCCCCCCCCCGACCTGGCCTTGCATTATAGCTCTTGCAGTTCCTTGCCGTGTAATAGTTACTAGAAAGTCCCGGGTCTCAGTTTCCATACCTGTGAAATGGGCACAATACTTTCCACTTGAAGGTTTATTGTGAGGAATAAATAATAAAAAAAACTAACATCCAGGGCCAGCCGAGTGGCTCAGTTGGTTAAGAGCTCGCTCAAGAGTGCAGGCTCTGAGCAACAGCAGTTCGAATCCCGGCCCAAGCTGAGCTGCCACTGAGCTGCCAACAGGTGGCAGGATGGCTCAGCTTAAACAAACAAACAAACAAACAAACAAACAAAAAATTAACACCTGTTGAGATTTTCCTCTGGGCCCTGCTCTGTGTGTTTTATAAACACATGTGATATAAACAAATGCACTAGCATTTCATCCTCCTGATGAGCTGTGAGGTCATTTGTTATTATTTCCATGATACAAGTGAAGAGACAGGTTTAGAGGGGTTGAGTAACTTACTTTACATCAGTAAGAGCCAGAGCCTGGGAGAATCCAGGCGGTATGCCCCAAATTTGAGGCCACAATATTGACACAAGTTTTTTTTTAAGCTTAAGGCATGTAGTAACCCTTTTAATGGTGGTGGGGTGGAGAGAGTGGACTCTCAGATCTCTATTATGGATGTAAATTATTGTTGTTACATGTTGCTAAATTTGCATAAGCTGAAAATTAAGTATATGTTTGATAATATATGAGCGCTGTCATTGCTTTACTGTTTACCATATGAATGTGGTGCTGAACACTAAAGGTGTAAAAGCTTGGAGATCAGTGTCACCCTTCTACCATGAGCCTGGTGACAGTTCCATTCTCCCACCGCCTGAACCACCTGAACCACATTAAAGCTTTCGTCTTGCAGCTCCTGAAGCCAGTAGGCCTTCATTTGGCTGAAAGGCAGGATTTCAAGTTCACTTCTGTTGATTTTAACATTAATCTTTGATGCAGAGCAGCTTGGAGCCAACACATTTATAAAAACAAATGCTCAGGCAGGCATTTTACCAATGTTCTCAAATTTTAGTAATGGACAGACCCTTTTAAAGGAAAAACAGTGTTTCTTAGACCTATGAGGTTATAAGGTTGTTATTCATCTCTCATTGAAAATATGCTTTTATTACTTATAAAGAGACTATCAGTTTAATGGAGACACACAATTTAAATATTATGCTAAGAATCCCCATGCTATCAAGAATACTGCTAAGCCAGGATGTGGGGAAAAGGGACCCCATGTGCCCTGTTGCTGGGAATGTCAACTGGTTCAGCTACTATGGAAAGTACTATGGAGGATCCTCAAAAAACTAAAAATAGAGCTACCATATTATCCAGCAATCTCATTTCTTGCTATATTTCCAAAAAGAATGAAATCAGTATCTTGAGGTGGTATCTGCACCCCCATGCTCATTGCAGCATTATTCAGAACAGTAAAGGTACGGAAACAATCTAAATGTCAGTCAATAAATGGCTGGATAAAAAAAGATTTTTATAAACAAAGAAAAGAAGAAAAAAAAAGGAAAACAAACAAGATTAAAAAAAGATTTGATTTTATATAAATATATGTATATATATGCAATAGAATAACATTCCGCTATAAAAAAGAAGCAAGTCCTGCCATTTGTGACAACATGGATGGACCTTGAGAACATTATGCTAAGTGAAATAATAATAATTATTATGAAAATTAATTTATATGAAATTATATATATAATTTAAAATAAATTTAAATTCTGTTTAAATTCTATTTAATATATTAAATTATATATATAATTTAATATATTAAAATTACATTAAAATTAATTTATATTATAAAATTAATAATTATTAAAATTAAACATTATAATTACAAATTATAT